CGCCACAGACAAGGGCTGTCTGCCCCGTTTTCATACTGACCCTGAGAGTATGAGGTTATCCAGCTGTTCATGGTCCCTCATTCCCAGAAGGAAACCCTAAACCACTTAAATGCTAGGAGTACAAGTGATGGGGAGGAAGTCCGGTGCTGCCTCTGGTCTCCATACTGCCAGGGACACACCACCCTCAAGGGCCTTTCCTTCCAGAATGTTCCCCTCCTTGCCCTGGGGGACTCTTCTCTGGATAATTCCACACAGGTGCTAATTATGGGCGTGGCTCATGGATTCCCCAGGACCCCATCCTCTCTTCTCAATCACAGGGAAAGTGGATTCCCCCACTTCCTCTCCAGTGAGCAGCTCATCATCAACACCCCTGCTCGACAACTGCTGTGCCCTCTAGAATCAGGAAGCCTATTTCTGCGGCCAGCAGCAGCTACTGTGGATCTGCTACCAGCCCAAGACTCAAGTCCTTGCCTTGTCTAGACCCTGGTGCAGGGCTCTCCAGGAACAGACACCGCCACTCTGCCTGAATCTCAATGCTTCTCAGACTGGGCTGGCTTCTTTGCCAAAGACATTGTATTCATTCCTCTGCTGACAAGCAAGGGGTCTCCCACCCCATGTCCTGTTCCTGAGGGAAGGACCTGGCTCTGACCTCAGGCACCCATTCTCAAAATCAACAGTCATGCCATTAGCTCTGTCTTTCACCCCTCCCACTGCCATTTCAAACTCTGAGCATCCAGAGTAGAAACAACAGACCAACTGATCATCTGGAAACTGAAGGGCTGAATATCAGTGCCAGAGACTCAGACATGAAGGTAGAAAAATGGTCTTACAGATGCGGGGCACATTCTAGAATACCAAATGAAGTTTGGGGACACATCCTAGAATATTTTTACAACAGATTTGTCTTCTGGATGCTTCGGGGGAATTACGGGGGGATGTGTATGTGTGCGTACGTGTCTGAGTAAGTATTTGGGAATGCGTGCCTCCATGGAGGACAGGTGTTGTTTGTGTGATTTTATTATTGTGTGCCTGTTTTCAGGGTTTGGCGTGTTTGGAGAGGAACTGTTCAGGGCTTGGCTTGCCTGGCTGCACGGGTGTGTGTCTACGTGATCACAGAATTAGAAAATTGGACTTTTTAGAACATCTCTAGCACCATTGGGCCATAAGCCTGAATGTCAGCTCTTGCCTGTATTCATCTCCAGGATGACCCCAATGCTCTACAATTATCTAGAAAGCAAGATCAGGATTTGTATGTACATTTATCCTCCACAGCCTCCAGCATAGTAGAGCCTGGCTTAAATATATATACATATATATAAAGCAAGGTTCTTGGAATTAGTGAGATTTGGGTTGAAATCCTGATAAGCATTTCCAAACAGTGTGACCTTGGGCAAGTTATTTAACCTCAACTGCCTGCCTATCTTACTCTTAAAATAGGAGCATTGCCTTACTTTCAGGTGAATAAAGACCAGAGTTAATAAATGAAAAGAGACATAAACTCACACACTGGTTCTGCCAATAACTGGTGTAGGAGCTCTCTGCAAACCTCCCCTGACGTGTGAAATACGGATGATAAGAGTGAGCATTTACTAAACACCTACTCTGTGCCAGGCACTGTTCCAAGAGCTTTACGTGCTTAACCCACTTAACCAATTCCACTTTCAAGTGAGGAAACTGAGCCACAGAGAGGTTAAGCCACATGCCCAGGGTTGTTCAGCTGGGAAATGGCAGCGCCAAGACTGGAACTCACGCAGTCTGATGCCCCAACCCTTGTTCTTAGTTACACCATGAACACCTGTTCTGCTTAATGAGCATAAACTGAACCATATAAGCACGATGTTCTGTGGGGGGAAAAGAGATTTTCCTGAAAAATAAAAAAATAGGGGATTGTGATTTTTATTTTTTTAAAAGATTTTATTTATTTATTTGACAGAGAGAGACACAGTGAGAGAGGGAGCACAAGCAGGGACAGGGAGAGAGGGAGAAGCAGGCTTCCCACCAAGCAAGAAGCCCAATGTGGGGCTCGATCCCAGGACCCTAGGATCATGACCTGAGCCGAAGGCAGACGCTTAACCAACTAAGCCACCCAGGCCCCCAGGGGATTATGATTTTTAAACTCAGAATAGTGAATATGAAGTTTATCTATTTCCTGATACCTGCCAGGAAAGGTGAAGTAGCAAGATTTCGCTGTAATATTGTCATCACATCAACCATATGGTTTCTGTACCATTAGGAAATGTGACTCAGCATCACTCTTCTGGGGTAAAAGGCTTCTGTGTCGGGTCCCCTTTTCCTTCAAATGACAAATATTCTTTTTGCAATGAGAGCCGGGGGATAATCCAGCAGCCCTGGGGGTTATCTAGTTCAGACGACTCCTCTTACACATGGAAGCACAGAGGCAAAGGGAAATGCAGTTACTTCTCCATATCAAATAATCCACCTGGCCAAAGGCAGTTATGCTAGGTAGGACCCAGGGCTCCTGGCTTCTAGCTTGGTGTTCTGCCAGATGACTCTGGGTTTCAAGGCCCGTAGATCATGATCATCACACTAGGGAGAAGCAGAAGGGGCATGGACATTGGTGGCGCCTAGAAGAGAGATTCCCCACAGATTGACACTCAGGAGTCAGCTAATGGTTGTATTCACAGAAGTAGAGCCCCTGAAACAAAGAAGGTGATATAGTTCTAATCTACCAAGTGTTGGTTCTACCAAGCCTAGGGTATTACACTTATTCTTAGGCACTACACACTTTGGAAGAAGGGGAGGGAGGCTCAGGGGGAAATCTGTCTTCAAATATCTGAAGGACTGTTCTATGGGAGGAAGATCAGATTTCTACTCTGGCCCCCAGGAGTACAATCAGAACCCGGGAAGCAGCCGAAAAGGCACTGATTTGGAAAGGAGACAAGCCTGACCACAAGTCCCGCAGGGCCACTCACTAGCTGTGACCTTGGGCAATCTCCCCTTTCCGAGTCTAAATTTGTTCTTCTACAAAGTGGAGATCCTTTCTCCCCCAAAGAGTCTGCTAAATACATCAGCTAAGCTATACTAAGGTAGGGCTAGCTTCCCATAGTCAGGGCTCAGGTTTGTGAACGAGATAGCGAGGTGCGCTCCCACCTTGCCCCCTCGCTCCCGTGCGCCCCTCGCTCCCATCCAGTTCCCTGCCCACCACGCCCCGAGCTCCCCGGCTCTCCTTCGCTTGCAGGGGCTAAAGTCACCCTTTCGTCTGCGTCCTTGCAAACACTCGGAGTTTCCTCCGAGGCCAGCCGCAGCACCGAGGAGCGCTTCCTCCTGCTGGGTTTCTCTGGCTGGACGGTGAGTGCGGGGGGTGGGGGAGGTGTAGGGAAGAAAGTGTTAGCCCAGGGCCCACGGATGGGAGTGTCCATTGGGAAGGCAGCCTTAGCCTACCCATTTCCGTGTGAGAATCTGCAAGATTTGTCCTCAGGGAGTCCAGGGTCACTGGGGAGGTCCCATCCTCTGCTCAGGAAATGTTCCTGTGCTTGAAGGCAAATCCCTCTACCCTCCCTATGTACAGGTTCAGGGAGGGGGAAGTGGCCTTCGGGCTTTCTCTTAAGCTGATGAAGAGAGAAGGCATGATTTACAGAGGACCTTCCCCATCCTCAGGGGGTACTGTGACCACTCCTGAAGAGTCCATATGCTGGTAAGATCATGTATGACGGGACAGTTAACGTTCACTCTCTCCCAGTCTGATGGCACACACCATGAAGACCCCATGGTGTCTGGCTTTAGGAGTCCCCCAAATTAACAGAGGAATCATGGACTCTACCCTGCAGCAGTCCCCATCCAAAAAAAGGAGCCACAGTTGCTCATCTCAGGAAATCAGTCCAACCCAATGCCCACCTAGCCAGGTCACTAGTGCCACCAAGAGCACTGGACCCCAAAGCATAACAAGGAACTCCCCTAAGTGCGGATTGTGCTGGGTGGGTTAAGCTAGGGATCTCTTCTGCACAAGGTGGTTAAGAACAAAAGGGACTAGACATGTCTTAGATGGTGAGGAAAATGTGCTCGTGACCAGTCATGAGACCCAAGAGGGACAGTGAGACAGAGGAGTAAGGGGAGGAAGATAGAGGAAGGGACCCAAGTTCCCCAGAGAGGAGCAGGCACCGAGGGGTGCAGGAGGCAGACAGGAAAGAGCTCTGTCAGACAGAACCTGGGCAGAGCCTTGGGAGTCAACCCAGAGACCAACCCAAAGCCCCCACCCAAATGATGCCCCCACCCCAGAGAAGACCTGCTAGACCCTAACGTAGACAGGACACAGACTGCTCCACAACCACACCTCCCCCAAGGAGCCCCCACTGGAGAACAAAATCTCTGAGTCCCCAGGGAAGGTATCTTTCCATGCCCACCATCATCCCCAGAAATAAGAACAGTTGAATTTAGTGTGGGGCATAGAGAATAAGATGGCACACCGTGCTGGGATTCATTTCAGACCAAACAACTTTAAATAAAGACAGAGAAGGTAGTTTATTGAATTTCTAAAGTCTTTGTTATTTAGATTATAATCATATCAGAGAAATTAACTAAAAATCATTTCACTGTTCTCTGTGAGCAGAAATTCAATTTGATTCAACATATTGAGTGATATTACAGATGAAATATATACTGGTGTAAACACAGAAATTAGGGGAGCATGGATCCCAATGTAAAACTTACTATCTTGTTGGACAGAAGAAGAAATAGGAATTTTTCTAAAAATCAGAGGGAACCAGGAAAGGATTAAATTGCAAGCTGGCTTTGATGCTATCTCTACTGTGCCTTAAAATGTTATTTTCTGTTTTCAGTAATATACACCATCCAACCACCTAATCAATTATGTTAGATCAAAAAATCATGGAGTTAGAAAGTTTTCTGCAGTCTTCCTCCCCACTGCACCCCTAATTTTCTCTATCTTTCTCATCATTTTGGGGAAATCATCAAAGGATGCTGGTGGAGTAAGAGCTAACAGTAAGCTCTTTTGACCCTGATATCACCCATCCCTGGCGGGGTCACCCCCCAATGCAGTGGGCTGTCAGGAAGAGTAAATTGCCCCCTCTGATGCCATAATCTGCCATGGTCTTCCCATCTTCCAGCCTCTTGCCGTTGCAAGTCACAATCTGTTTCTCAGGCATGATAGCGGTCTTGGTCTCTATCATCTGTTTCACCTGGGCCACTGAGCTGGACCTTCGCACCTGGAGGAGGTGCCTCTGCCCCTTATCACCTGACTCCACCAGAAACAAGGGCAGCTCCTCATCACTGGGCTTCACCACCTTCAGAGTGAGGTGGATGGTCGTCTCCTTGTCAATGCCGTAAGATGACAGCTTCCTCTGGGGCTTTAGAGTCTTGGAGCCCATCAAAAGGACCTGGTCTTGCACGGGAACCTTGGTCTTAGCCCGGACATGTTCATTGATCTTCTTCACTCTGTCATTCACGTTAGCAGTGAAGGTCATTGATGTCCCTTCCGCAGAATAGACCTTCACCTGGACAATGAAGGCCAAGAGACCTCAAATCAAGGTGCCTGGAATGCCTGCCATCTTTTAAACCACTGTCCCCTCCTTGCCCAGCCCCACCCTCCCTGCCTGCCTGGTCCTCCAGCTCCTTAACAAAAGTTGTGTCCCTCCCTTTCTTGGAACTTTTCTTTGGGAATTTCAAGCTTATAACACAGGAAAATCAGTCTTATTGCTTTACAACCATACCTCTCATTCATCCTAATGTCATTAGTGATTTCCCACATTATTTGCCTGCCTCCGATCCGGATAAAGTTTGTCAAATGTCAAAAACTTAATACAATTACAAAGCATCCCAAATTATATACCAGACTCTAAAAACAACTCCTAAAGAGAATTCCCAAGACTTGTCAGCCTCATGGGATGCTCACGCACTGCCCTCCATGACTACTTTAGAAGGAAACCCTGGCCAGGACACATATTCTCTGTACTCCTGGTTTCTTTCTTAATGTCCCATGGCCTTGTAATAACTCACACATTACAGTGACACTGTGTTCAGTGTGACTTGTTTCCTGGACTTCCTGTTTTTTTATATCTACCTATTGCAGAATATGATCTCCTCCTGTTGCTAGACCAGGGCCTCACTCACAGAAGGTAGGGCAAGATCTAGGTCTTCCTTCCATAGTCTGAAGCTGGGCAAGCTCACTTCCGTGTTGTCACTGGAAAGCCTGGGAGGACTTCCCTCATGCTCCATTCAAAACCATCTTCCCAGTCTGGACGTCACAGACATTTCCTCACTGGACCGATGCCCCTCCATGCTAAGGACCACCTTGATGCCAGCCCATCTATAGTGCACATACTCTTTATAGGCTCATGTATCAGGTCATTAACAGCTTAGAGTAAATGAGTTTTGTGTGCCTCTCTTTTGGGAGGAGAAGGGAGTTGGAGAGCCAAGGGACCCCTAATCAGAAGAAGGAAAAAGGGCTCCAGACAATATTCCCATAGTTTCAAATCCAGCCCTGTGATTACAAAGTCCACTCCCACTTCCCACCATCCTCCCCTAACAGTGCCCCGTCGGGTCTGACACACAAGAGCATTCAGGAGCCAAATGAGCTGCTTCTAGTCCCAGAATCTTCCTTCAGCTTCTGTAGCTATCAGAGCCTGTCTCATCCCCTGCAGGATGCCTTCCCAGCCACCCTGCCCCCACATCCCTCATAGAACTCGCTCCCCATCCCTTGGAGGTGTTTTTCTCTCCCCATCCCCACCTTCAACCCCAACTTACACAGAGGCAGGAAGCACTGGATGCCATGTTTGCAATCAAAGGAGTAGACAAAAGAGGCTGAGGAAAAGGACTTGTGTTCAGCTTATATAAGACCTGAGTTGGAAATCCCCTGCCTGAACCACTGTGCCTGTTCCCTTTGTTTTCAGGATGTCATGAATTTTCTTTCACTTTCACTAGGGCAGAGTCAATAAACAAAGAATACTCTCTGATCAAACACATTCCTCTGTTCAGAACCTCCCCGGTTAAGAACCCACCACTCCCAGTCCTGACTTATGACTGCCCAGCATGGGGCCCTGGGCCCTTACCCACTTCAAGACCTTTACTACTTGATGGTGATCTCTTCCTGCTTTCGAGAACCCGCCCCATGCCATCACTCAGGGGCCTTCCTGAGAGCAAGGGTGCCCAGGAGAGGATGTAGGAGTCTGTGAGGAGTGATGTGACTGTGAGCAGACATTTCACACCAGTGTGGCAGAGTGGGAGGCATGACTCGAGATCACACAGGATACACAGCCTGCTCTGAGAGGAGATGCGAGTTCAAGTCCCAGGGTGCCACTTGCTACCTTAAGTTGTGCAAGTCTGTTCAACTCCTTAGATGTTTGTTTTCCGGTCTGAACATGAGATGATTGGAGAGAATTCAGAAAACAGCTTGTAAAATGGACCTTCCATTCCTGGGTTTTGAGCTCTCTAGCACTGTTCCTATCCTGTCACAGAACCTGCAAACCAAATCTAGTACTTAGAACAATCCTAGGCCAACAATCAAGTGCTAAGCCCACCTTCCATGTAGCAGAACAGCACACATCGGCTCTCACACAACGGTGACTCTGTTTCCCACCTTCACTGCTGGACACTCGCTACTCCCTGCACTCTCACACACACCCATGATGCTCCTTCCTCCTTGGCTCTGGAGGCTTTGATTGGGACAAAAAAGGGAGGGCACAGGCTGTGTGCTCTCAGGGAGTTTACTTGACTACTCTGATCCTCCTAACATTCCAAAGGAATCACTACCCTCTCCCAAACTCTCAGGACAGTGCCACAAAACACATTCTCAAAAAAGCCTTTATGAAAGGTACTCCCAATTTTTTCAAAGTAAAAAATCCCATAAAAATGTCATTATCATCTTTTTTGCTGTGTTCTTAGTGGCCATTTACTGTACCTTCAGCACCAATAGATGTCAAATGATCCCATTTTACTGCAGGACTTTCCATCCTGGAGAACTTGGGTTTATAGAAGTGCCTATATAGAGTAATGGGGTCCAAGAACCAATCCAGTATTTCAAAAAAAAAAAAAAAACTCAACATAAATCAGGTTCTTCTATTTGAAGCTCTTATTAGATAGCCATAAACTTGGAAAATTATTATTTAGATGTATTCTGTGGGGTAGACATACTTTTCAAGCACATAGGATGGGTGTGAAGGGGGAAGAGTGCCTGATGGAACAGCCTGGAAACAGTGGGCCCTGCCAGTCTCCCTTCAGATGCCTCTCTGGGTTCCTATCATCCCCTGCGTGCGGAAACCAAGATTGTGATCTTGGATCTGCAGGTGCAGCCCTGCATCCAGTGTCCAATAGGATCTGCGGATTCTGAAACATCACCAGTAACCGAGCAGAAGAGGTCTGATCAGGTGGAAGGTGGCAGGGAGCGAGCCCGCAGCAGGAAGAAGAGAAAGGAAAGCCTCACAAGGCTCCTAACTTCCACATTTCATCTGTGCCCATTACCATCTTAGACCTTTGCCTCGTTTCTAGAAAGGGAGGCAGAGAGGAGGTGTCGAAAGCTGCTTAGCATTAAATCATTCTTCTCATCCTTCCCCCTTTTCCTTTCCTGCCTGGGCAGCCTACACCATCTTGGGGCAGAGGTCTCCTTTCTCAGGGGAGCAGGGGACCTTGAGAGAAGCTCCTGCAGGGAGAGCCCAGGAACCCCATTTCTCAGGAATGGTGTCTGTCAGAGCTGCACCCCCAGCCCAGACCAGAGCTGCAGAGCTGCAGAGCTGCAAGTCTAGCAGCTTCTGGGCACGATTCCGAGTTCCCTGCATAAGCCTGGACATACCGCTCTCTGCCGCCAGGTCAAAGAGCACGTGTCTCCTTCCAGCGCTACCCACAGTGTCAGGGATTTATACAGACACAAGATGTAAGCTGTGCCTCCTCCAGGAAGCCTTCCCTAACTCCTGTCCTAGCCTGACTCATGTGCCCCTCCTCTGTCCAATCATTCGCCTTCCACAAGCCCCTCAGAGCAAGTTTCTCCAGCAGGAAGATCATCTGCTTACTTGTCTATTCAGCGCCATGAAACAGTGGAGATCTGGGGGGTCATGATTGTGTCTTGATTAACTTGGGTCTCCAGCACTTCCTGGGCATGCTGTCTGGTACAGTAAATACTTAACATTTACCAAATGCATGAATGAACTAAAAAAATAAATAAATGAATAAGTGAATAACAAAAAATGGAAAATAACATTTGATGAGTACTCATCATATTTCAGGAACTGCACAAGGTATTAGTAAAAGGCACCTGATGAACTGTTCTAGCTTTCTAATGAGGTAAATATTAGTATCTCCACTGATAAGCAAGCAGTGGACTCACCCACAGTCACATTAGTAGTAGCTGTGAGCAAGTCTTCAAATGCAAATCTCTACTGCTGTCCTTCTACTAATCTCCCCCCAGTGGAAGGGACAGGGGGAGGGCATGGCATGCATGCCTTTGCATTACAGGAAGGGTACACATCAGGGAAGGGGTACAGACAGACAAAGGAAATCAGAGCCTGCAAGGAGCCCTGTGAGGGATGAGCGAGGAGAGCTCCGGGCCCATAGTTGGTAGGAGCATCCCTGGCTGGGGGCCCTGCCTAGACCACTGGGCCACCACCAGCAAAGAGCCTGTGAGTGTAGCAGGCAGAGCCTGGGGGAGGAGGGCAGCACTCCCAGGACTGGGAGGGTTGAAGATGCCACTGTCACACTCTCCTCAGCCACAGGGGATTTCCAGCACGGAGCTACTTCAAGGGCCAGCCTGGGATTCGCCCAGGAATAACTAATTCAGGGGATTCCCTACCCAGACAGGATCTGGATTCTGAGAAACACTGTCCTTGCAAGGAATCAGAATAACAAACCTAGACATTGACCTCTCTCATTTCCCTCCTCCCTTCCTCTGTGTGGTTCCCTTCCATGCCAAGGGGCAGGGCAAGGGCTGTCCCCTGTGCCCTTCTGCTGAGTCACAGCCAGGGTTTCCCCGGGACCTGACCTCCTCCCTGCTTCCTAGCACTCTGTCAATCTGACTTTTTTTTCCCTCTGTGTCATAATAAATGTTTTCAGAGGCAGAAAGATCTCTTTCCATTTGCCCTTTGACAAATTCAGGACACCAGCCCAGGTAAAAGGTCATGCTGACCTCACCAGGTCATAAAACAAATGTCTCAGATACACACAAACCTCCCGGTGTGACTACCTCACTGATGGGCAGTCTGGGGCTGGTCACTGCCCCGCTGAAGCCTTCCTGGAGAAGAGGCCTCTCTCCTGTCTCTTTAATGGTGCCCAGGAAAGAGTCTGTAGAACTGCTTTGACATCTAGATTATTGCTTCAGAAATGTAAGCCAAACTCAGTCAAAAACCTACTGTGACTTTTCCTTTATTAATGATTGGGGAAAAAACTCATGTACTCTCAAAGGACAATTTGGAAATACTTACAAATATAACTCTTTATTTCTGGATTTTTCCATTATGTTCCATTGATCTATGTGTCTGTCCTTATGTCACGAGTACACAGTCTTTAATCCTCAAGCTTTATAATAAGTTTTGAAATCAGAGTGTATAACTTCTCCATCTCTCTCTCTCTTTTTTTTTTTTTTTACAAATTTCTTTTGGCTACTTTCAGTCCTTTGTATTCCCATATAAGTTTTAAGATTAGCTTGTTAATGTCTTTTAAAAAAAGTCCTGCTTTTTTGGTAGATATTGTACATAGACAGCAATTTGAGGAGAATATCCATTTTTAAAGTTTCTTCTAGAATTTTTATAGGTTGGCAGCTAGGTCTGTGATCCCTTTTGAGTTAGTATTTGTGTATGGTGTGAGGTAAGGAGGTCCAGATGAAAATATTTGTGTGTGTGTGTGTGTGTGCGTGCGCACACGCACATGTGTATCTGATTGTCCCAGGACAATTTTCAAAAAGACTATCCTTTCCTCACTGAATTGCCTTGGTTGCTTGTTTTTATGATTTATGAAGAGTGCTATGCTTTATAGAGTCTCCTTGATCTTGTTTTCTTCACTCAGTAGATTTCTGGCATATTTGTCCATATTGTCGCTCACAGGTATAATCTACCCATTTTCACTGCTGATAGTATTCTATGATAGTTATCTGTTTCTGTACAACTGAAAGGTATTTGGGTTGTTTAGTCTGGCATGTCCATTTTTAGGTTTCATAGCTAAGTCTGATGGCAGTGTGTGAAAGCTGACTGAACCAACACACCGGAGGGTGCAGGATGGTATACGGCCGGGGACCACCCAGGAGTGAATCCAGTCTGACTCTCCTACTTCCCATGCAAATTATTTACCCTCCCTGAAGCTTAGTACTTTCTTCTGTAAGTTGGAGGTTTCACTCAGGATTAGGCTGTGCTACCATTAACAAACATGTGAAAATACATGGCTTTACAAGGACAGAAGTATATTTCACTCCACGTCAAAACCCATAGGTAGACGATTCAGAGTCAGTATGGTAGTTCGCCCCCAAAAAAACTCAGGGCCATGCTCCTTGGAACTCTGCTATTCTTAGGATACAGCTTATATGGTTACGGTCCAAATGGTCATCAGCAGTCGTGCTCTGCTCTCATCTATGCATTGAGCGGATCCATCATGAACCAAGGTCAGCTTCTTTTCATTCCATCATTGTGTCATGAGGTACACCTCCCTCCAAGGCAGATTAAAGGTAGTTACAAACTCTAGGACAATCCTCCCGCCAAGGGAGTCTATTCCCATTCCTCTCGAGTCTAGGTTGGGCTATGACTGTGTTACGAGAACTGGCTGTCCCACCCTAGTCTCTTACAGCCCTGAGTCATCACGTAAGAAGTTTGACTACCATGTCTGAGGGACCACGTGGGGAGGTCCTAAGAG